CCCTCAAAACCGCTGTGCCCTGGAATCCATATTAAGTGGACTCTGTTCTTTTCAGCAAGGTTTTTGAGAAGTAGAAGGCATTCCCACACTATTTTTGAGGTTACTCGAGGTGAGCGTAGTGCCAGGAGTGCCGATTTACTGTCAGAAAAGATATATATGTTTTTTCCCGTGACGGGTTTACCTTTATATACCCTGAGACATAATTCAATTGCGTGTACTTCAGCCTGAAAAACTGAGTTTTCTTTACTCATACTCGCAAATATTTCCTCTTTAGGTCTTACTCCATATACTCCCGCCCCCACTCCTTCCATCGTTTTGGAGCCATCCGTGTACCACAGATGGTAGTCTCCAGCGAATGGAGGTATGTTCCGTTCCCATTCATTTCTGTCTGGTATTAGTATTAGGAACTTTTAGTGAAAGTTGAATTTAGGTAAGCAAATGTCAGATATGGTGATATTTAGTCCTTCCTCTCTTTGCATTTCCCTACCTAACAGGGAGTTATCGAGTAGTCTTGTTGATTGATTGCTAGTCAACTGTAGCTTGGCCATAAAAGTCATTGCTTCCTTTTTTACTAGTAGGTGAAGTGGGGGGAGCCCCAATGCAACCTCTAGGGCTGCTGTCGGGGTAGTTCTCATCGCTCCACTTGTCATTATGCAGGCTAATCTCTGCAGCTTGCGAAGTTTATCTATTACAGTCTTCTGTTGTGCTTTTTTGTATCAGATAGCTGACCCATAAGTTACAATTGGTCTGGCAATAGATGTGTACATCCAAAGGCTGAGTTTTGGATTAAGGCCCCAGTGCTTACCAATGAGGTTTCTGCTGGTCCATAATGCCTCTCTGGCTCTTCGTATGACATTGTCTACATGAGAATTCCACGTCAACTTCTCATCTAGAATCATTCCCAGGTATTTTACTTGGGTAACGGATGATAGCTCTTCTCCATTTAGGAATGGGTAATTGGAAAGTACTCTCTTCCTTTTCTTTGTGAAGACTACCAGACTTGTTTTCTTAGGATTTACATTTAATCCTACTTCACTGCACCATCTACTAACGATGTTCAGGGCTTGTTGAAGTCGATATGAGATCATGTCTTCATATTTACCCCTGACAAGTATGACTATATCGTCAGCATAGCCTTGTGCCTCGAAATGTTTGGCACTGAGTCGATGCAAGAGCTCGTCTACTGCAATTGACCACAGGAGTGGGGATAATACACCCCCTTGTGGGCATCCTTTTACAGTATGTGCTTTTATTTCGGCATTGCCGAGAGTGGATTTAACCATTCTATTTCTTAGTACATTGCTTATCCATGTGCGTGTCGTATCATCTACTCCTCTGTCATGGAGGCATCTTTCGATATGTGAGTGATCAGTATTATCAAACGCTCCCTCAATATCAAGAAAGCATCCCACCGCAAATTCTTTGCAATCTACAGACTCCTGTATTTTATTAGTAAGACTGAGTAATGCATGTGTGGTGGATTTATTTTGTTGGTAGGCGTATTGGTTGGCGTGGAGTGGATTTATAGATAAATACTCTTCCCTTATATGCCTTTCCACTATCTTCTCCATAGTTTTTAAAAGAAATGTAGTCAAACTTATAGGCCTATGGGATTTAGGAAGTTCGCTAGGTTTACCTCCTCCTTTAGGTATGTATTTGACAATTGCTTCCTTCCAATTAGTGGGAATGATTCCCATCGCCAGCCCAGCTCTAAAGATATAAATGAGGTAGGGCATAAGGTCAGTTAGTCCCTTTTGTAGGAGTGCTGGAAATATTCCGTCTGCTCCAGGTGCTTTGAAAGGAGAAAATGAGTTGATCGCCCATTTAATTTTATCTTCAGTGAAGATTTTACGAGCAATCTTCCAGTCATTGTTTCTGGGCCTTTTGGTCACCAGGGAACTAAGCTGGGAGATTGATTGGTCGTAAATTGTAGATCCCGGAAAGTGTACTTCTGTTAGAAGTATAAGTGACTCTTTGCAGTCATTGGTATAAAGACCATCAGGTCGTTTTAGAAGCCCAATGGGATTAGTGTGGCTTTTCGAGATAACCCTGTGGATTTTTGCGCTATTGCTTAAGTTTTGAATCTCTGAGCAAAAGCCTTTCCATGATTCTCTTTTTGCCCTTCTAATTTCTTTATTGTAGGCGGTGAGGGCATTTTTATAATTGTCCCATTCACCGTTGGTTTTTGCCTTGTTGAAGAGTCTCCGGGATTCGACTCTTAGCTTGGCTAACTTTTTATTCCACCATGGTGCACTTCTGTTGCTGGTCTTATTTTTCACCGGACAGGCCCCATGGTAGGCATTTATAATAGTTGTGCTTAAGGCAGCATCAGCTATTTCTAAATCATGAATATTTTTTATCGTATGTTTATTACTGCCTAGATTGGCCTTGAGTTCGTCAGTATAAAGATCCCATTCTGTGGCCCTAGGCACCCTATACGATTCTCTTACCTTCATATTTAGATCAATATCAAATCTAATCTGACGATGATCAGACATGGATGTTTCTGCTGAAACATTCCAGTTTTTGATAAAATGTTTTATAAATTGTGTTGCTAGGGTGATGTCTAATACCTCTTCCCTGATTCTGTTTATAAAAGTGGGCTTATTGCCCGTATTCAAAATATATAGGTTGTTACCAGTCATAAATTCAAATAGACACTCACCTCTTTTATTGATGTCGGTGCTGCCCCAGATCGTGTGGTGTGCATTAGCGTCACTTCCAACGATGAGTTGCCTCTTGCTTTTAACACTGTAGTCTACTAGTCCTTTCAGTGATAGGAAGTCCAGGTCTTGGGAGTCTCCAGGTAGGTAAGATGAGCAGACAATGAGCTCTGTCTTACTTACTGGGGTGTCCACAGAAATTATAGCTGCTACCTGGTCCTTGTTGGTGTGCTGTGGAATAATGAAAGCATTAATGTCATCTCTTACCACAATACAAGCACGAGGTCGACCATGGCTAGCATGATCGTACAGTAGCTTACCTTTTATTCCCTTTATCTGGTTCTCATATACATATGGCTCCTGGATAAAGGCTAGGTCAATCTTTTCAGATAGAAGTCGCTGTGTCAACACCGCCGTAGCAGCTTTGGCGTGTTGAAGATTAACCTGCAGGCACCTCATCATTTTATTGGTATCGTCCTTTACCGTTCCGCATCCACTTGGGCAATTTTGTCCCATGAGTGGGTGCTTCCTGTCGAGGGGATCTTGAAGCTGGTTTCTTTGGCCCTTGCTTCTGGTCCTTTATGCTAGATACCGGTGTGCCACCCTGCTGTTTTGAGGTGCTGGGTCCGACTTCAGTTCGGGTGCTGTCCCGTGTGACCTTAACCGTCTCACTTGGCTTATCTGCCTGTGCTTTTGAGGTACTGGGTCTATCACCTGAAAGCGGCCTTTTGGATGGAGGCACCTGTTGCTTGACGTCACTGGGTTTCTCTGTCGTAAATGGCCTTTTTGTCGTCAGTTTCTTGGGTCCAGTTGGCTCTCCCTTCACACGTACGTGAATTTGTGTGAAGTTCAGATACAGCTTCCCTGCCTGACCGACTATCCAATTTTTGGATTTTTCGTCCACTGAGATCGTAACGGTTTCCCCACCATTCTTATCTTTCTCAGTCCTGAGAATTCTCCACGATGATGTGCAAATGCCACCATTTTGTTTTTTCCAATCGGGACATCAGAATTTCTGGTGGTAGCACAGCAGAGGGGGGAATAAATGTGATGCACACATAGGTTTTGGGCATCTCTTCGCCCTGAAACACTTTGAGAATAGCATCCGGGAATGGTTTGAGTTTTGGGACACAGGTGGTCAGCCAGTTCCTCGTTTCACCATTGCAGCATGTTAATGAGAGCCATCCGTCTCTGTTAACACTGGTGATGAAGCCGTAGACACTATTGTGTTTGGGAAGTTTGTCAATTTCTTCCAGGAGCTTCGATTTTATCAACTCCATTTGGTCACCAGTGAGATTCACCTCCGGATATTTCTCATGGGCGATAGCCACTTTGCAAGCATTGGCTACATCCCTGTAAGATGGAGTCGGTTTTAGCTGGTTTCCGGTAGAGCTAGATGTGTGTTGAGTGGCTTTTGGCTTTTTGGGCTGCGGGCGTTGTGTTTCTTCGGGAGATGTGTTATTAGATCTGCACCTTTTGCTGGTACTGGGTCTGTCACTTTCTCCTTCTGCTGCCAAGGAAGCTTTGTAGAGAGAGTATCGCTCTCTCTCTTTCTGCTTCGCAGTCTCCAAATCCAATCCATCCCTAATCATGGCCTTGATGCGTCTTTTCTAAGCCCCGGTGAAGTATTCCGCTTTCTTCCTGGTCTCTATGTTGCCGTCACCTGAGTTCACCATGCTCTGGGTATTAGCATTAGACGCACCGCCATCGTGGTCACCTGTGTCCATAGGACTCTGGGTGTCAATCACCGGAGAGGTGTTCCCACCGCTTGATACCATTGGTCTCTGAGCAGATGGGTTCAGATCATCCAGATCCTGAATCTTGAGAGATGCTTCAAGCCTCTTTTCAAGATTTCCTCCAACCTTCGTTGGCGAACGGAGTAGAGCTTCTTCCTCTGACTCTGTAATTATATTATTAATTGGTATATTTAGTTTATTATCCATATACAGTGTTTAATATAAGGGAAAGAACAGTCACCCAAAGCAGAGCCCCATACTTTGAGAAGGCATTAATTAAAACAGGAGAGTGCCCGGTATCCTGAGTATTATCCTCCGTTGCTAACATATATTGTGTTATATGTGCCGGACCTGAAAGGCATGAACTAATCGTATTGAATCGACTGCAGTGAAATATTGCATGCTTGGTATCTTCTTCTACTCCACAGCTAGGACACAAGGGGGAATTATCGTGCCCAAATCTGAACAGATATTTTCGATAACATCCGTGCCCAGTTAAAAACTGCGTTAGATGGTAGTTTGTCTCACCATATTTTCGTTCCAACCATACGGTGATTAGAGGTATAAGTGAGAAGGTCCATCTGCCTTTGGTGGAGTTTTCCTATCTGTTCTGCCATACAGCTACTGAAATTTTTTTCTCATTCCCTTTAACTTGGATAGAGTTATGTTGTTCACAGATTTCCTGCCTTTTGCTGAATATTCTTCGCATTTCATCTGCCAATATATCAATGGGCACTACACCAGCTATAACAAAGGCTGCTTCATCCGACACCGTGCAGAAGGCGCTTATCGTTCTTAGTGCACTTATTCTGTAAGTCTTTGTTATCTTCTTTCTATTTTCAGCTATAGACAGTGATTTTGCCCAAATAGGTGAAGCATACAGCATTATGGAGCTTACTACTCGACTAAGGAGCAGTCTTTTGTCATGACCTGGTCCCCCAATATTTGGTAGAATTCTTGACAGTCTGCGCCTTTGCCGCTTTCTCGGATACATATTGGATATGTGTTTTAAAGCTTAACCTATTATCAATCATTACTCCTAGATATTTTATGGCTGGCTTAGATTGGATTAATACCTTGCCTACTATAACGTTCATAAACTCTACTCATTTGCGGCTAGTTATAAGCACTGCCTCTGTTTTATGTTCCGCAAGTTCAAGATTCACTGAGTCAAGCCATACTTTAATCATACGTATAGCTTCGTTAGTTGCTGTTTCGACTTGTGCAATATACTTCGCTACAGTGACTACTACTATATCATCCGCAAATCCAATTATTTCACATTCCTGCGGAATTGATAACCTAAGCACTTCATCATACATAATGTTCCATAGGTGAGGCCCTAGTACTGATCCTTGCGGGACACCTGCTGAGACGTTGCGATATTGTATGCCATCATCACTTCCGTACTTTAGTTTTCTATCGGTAAAGTAGCTAGACATTATTCAACACAGCAGATATTTAGGTACCGGTAGTTCCCTTAATCGTTCAAGAATGTGAGACCAATTGGCAGAGTTAAATGCATTCTTTACGTCTAGGGTTACTACTCCACAGTATTCCTTATCGCCCCAGCGCCACCTTTTTCCCTCAATGGCAGCCTTTGCCTTATCAACTACCAGTTTAATTGCATCTATGGTTGATCTAGCATTTCGAAATCCAAATTGATTTTCTGATAATGCATTTCTCTCCTCTATGTGTGAGTTCAATCTGCTGTGTATTACGCGTTCCAGCATCTTACCTATGGTGTCTAGTAAACAGATTGGTCGGTGTGAAGATGGATCTTCTGACGGTTTATTTCCTTTCGGTATAAGTACAAACCTCTGGGTTTTCCACTGCTTTGGAAAGACGCCTTCTTCTAGACACTTTTGAAATACTACCGCAAAGCTATCTGGTATGCAGTTAATTGCGACTTTAAGCGCAACGTTAGGGATGCCGTCAGGACCAGGTGCTTTCTCATCTCCAATATTTCAGGCCCCCTGTAGCACCTCTTCCGCTGTTACCGTAGGAATAACTGTCTCGCTTATGTCTTGCTCAAATAGTGGAATGAACGAATGTCCTTATGGAAATAAGGTATTTATTATATTTCTCAGCGTATGTGGACATGATATTTGTGGCGCCTTTTGGTTTGGGAGTTTTTTCATTCTATATGCCGTTCCCCATGGATTAAGCTCGGCATCATTACATAGTTGTCTAAAACAGTCACGTTTACTTTGTTTGATGGTATTTTTCAAGGCACTTCTAACACTTCTAAATCTATTCAGTGTATCTATCTCATTTGATCTACCTTTAGAACGTTGCAGTAAACGTTTTGATCGTAAACAGGCCTTTCTTAGTGAAGCAATTTCTTCATTCCACCAGTAGCACGGAATCTTCGTATTACCTGGCCGCCTTCTTGGGATTGCTGCGTCACATGCTGTGTTTATAATACGTAATAGGTCATTGCTTGAATCTTGAGCAGAAGAAATGACTAGACGTTGCCCCATTATAGAATCCTCAAATGTAATTTTATCTAACCACGAGCAGTTCCATATTGGGCCCGTTAGTTTCGGCTGCTGTTTGCGCTTTACAGATTTTATATCGAACAGTATGGGTTGATGATCACTAAATGTGAAATCCTCACTGAAACACCATGTCACGTACCGGGCTATGGAGTTACTGACCAACGTAATATCTGTTAAGTTTAACAAACCTAACATATTTTAGCTCGCTTGTAATCATGCTTATGCAGCAAATAAATATTGTAAATATTTACGTTTATAAGTTCAATAACTTCACATATTGTATTTATGCTTATGCAGCAATATGTGAAATTTAAATTATTATTTTAGTCACCAATAATTGTAATTATTATTATGCTTAGTAAGTAATTCTATACTATATAAGGTAACAATATTAATAATAAAATTTGAAAGCGAAAACAATCGTCTTTACTTCACAATCAAAAATTGGTTATTGGTAGATGTGCCTTTTAACCACTGTAGAAACAAAATAAAAATTATTTACTTACTTGGCTAGCGGTTTATGTGCCTGCAAGCCTTTCATCTTAACTACCTGATTATTGGTTTATGTGCCTAATAGTCAGTGTACCAAAGTAAGCAAATATAGACATTGATACCACCTCAGATTACGTGGTATACATTGGTGACCCCGACGTGATTGGCAAGAGCAACTCAGTGTGAGCCAGCAGCGTTTACAAAAAACCTTCATTGAAAACAACTTGTTTCAACGGAAATACAATAACCATGGATCCAAAATCAATATGCACTTTAACTGACCAGCAGGATTCAATTGGTTCAGAGATCGACAGAATCATTCGCAACTTCAAGAAGGATTCACCCAGCAGGAAAACACGTCAATATCTCGAAGATCGTAAAACAACTTTAGAACAGTTATTAGCTGACTTCAAGGCTAATGATGAGCAACTACAACAAGCCGATGTACTAGCAAGAACATCGGACTATTTCACACAAGATTACGGCATGGTAATCATAAATTTGGGTAACAAATATATCACCACAATAACTCAAGAGCTGGAAGCATTACTCATTAAGGCTCAACCATCAACAATAAAGGGGTTGAACCTTCAGATAAATAATGATGTTGAAGCTCCTGAAATAGTATTACCTACTGGTGGTCAAGAGAATGAAATTATTCAGGCATTAGTCAACAGACGAAATGCAGTGTGTAAATCAATCAATCGTCTCATCCACAATGTGAGACAAGATAACCAGCAACAGGTACCACAATATTTTGCAGTAAAATTAGCTACGCTTACCAAGTTATGGGGATCAGGCTGAAGGTTTAAATTTTACTATTCAGGAACGGCAAGACAACCCTCCTGATTGCAATCATTATCTAGCACTTGAACAATTGGTGCAAGATACAATGGTGGAATGGACTAGTAAGTCGACCAAGATTGAGACATCAATTAGGTCAACTTACCAATCATCGGCTACTTTGCCAACAATATCTCTTCCAAAGTTCAGTGGAGATTATTTGAGTTGGCGACAATTCAGTGATCTGTTTGCACAACTAATACACAATCAAAGAATATCAGACTCACAGAAACTCTGGTATTTGAAAACCAATATTCAAGGCGAAGCTGAAGCACTCATCAAGCATTTGCAAATATCAGATGCAAATTATGAGACGGCATGGCAATTACTACAAAGTAGATATGAGAATAAAAGAGTTCTAGTATCAGCAGTTTTGCAACGTTTGACAGCTCAAAACTCTTTATATAACCATCCAACAGTCCAAGCCATTAAAAATATGCATGACACAACAAAGGAAAGTCTATGTGAACTTCATAATTTAAAGATTGAAACATCAACTTGGGATCCAATTTTAGTTCACATACTATTAAAAAAATTGGATAAAAATACACATTGCAGTTTTGAACAAACTCTTACTAACCCAAAGGAGATGCCCACAATAAAACAATACTTAGAATTTTTAGAATTGAGATTTCAGTCACTTGAGGCTATAGGTCTACGAGACAATGCAGTATATAAACCCAACAAAAGGATAGCCGTAACTATGGTTTGTTCAGATCTATGTAAAGTTTGTAATACAGATAAACATCCGATCTACTATTGCAAAAAGTTCATTGAAATGACTCCTCCTGAACGATTAAATTGGATTCAACGACAAAAACTATGTGTGAATTGTTTCAAATCCGATCATAAAGCAAAGTTTTGTGAAGCTGGATCATGTAAAAAATGTGCCAAGAAGCATAACACTTTGCTCCATTTAGAGCAACAGTCACCTAAACCTTCAAGGGCACCAGCAACAAACACAAAGTCAACCACAACATTGATCAACGCTAATGAATCGCCATCCATAACAGCAACAACTAATGCAAAGTGTACTCGTAATTATGTTCTGCTAGCCACTGCAAAGGTGCGCATTATTGCAAACAATGGACGAACGTGTGATGTTCGTGCCATACTCGACTCAGGGTCTCAAGTGAACCTAGTAACCCAAAGAGTAATCAACAAGTTATCTTTAATTACCACAAATTCAAATCTATCGATCGAAGGTATCTCGCGTAAATGTTGAACTGCAGGCTACTAATGGAAGCTTCAGAACGAGACTAGAGACATTTGTACTGCCACAAATAATATCAGCACAACCGTCACGAGACCTAGATATCTCGGATTGGCAGATCCCACAGAATGTAGAATTAGCAGACCCCAGCTTTAACAGATCTGGAAGAATTGACATGCTGATTGGTGCTGAATTCTATCATACTCTACTTCAACCAGAACAATTGATAATAGGAAAGAATTCGCCACTGTTACAAAATTCGGTTCTAGGTTGGTTGGTGGTTGGTAAGACTAAAACTACAACAGATATTAAACCAACATGCGCTATTACTACAGGAGAGGTTGGTGAAATCTCAGAAAGGACCCAAATTTATACAAGGAATACATAAAATTCATGGATGACTACGAGTCATTAGGTCACATGGAAAAAGTTTGCCCAAAAGATGTCAAAGGATCACAATATTTCATTCCTCATCATTGTGTCTTGAAACCTGACAGCACTACAACCAAATTGAGAGTTGTCTTTGATGCATCAGCAAAAACATCAAGCGGTTTAGCACTAAACGATATTTTGCACAAAGCTCCAACAGTGCAAAGTGATCTTTTTTCAATACTGTTGCGTTTTAGAATACACCGGTTTGTATTTACGGCCGATATTGAGAAAATGTACCGGCAAATTCAAGTACATGATGAAGATACAGCACAGCAGCTGATAATCTGGAGAAAAAGTGCTGATGATAGTATACAATATTACCGACTGAAAACGGTTACATATGGAACAAAGTCAGCCCCTTATCTTGCAACAAAATGTCTTCAACACCTTGCGAAACATAATATGACCAACTATCCGCTTGGAGCACCTGCATTACTTAATGATTTTTATGTAGATGACTGTTTAAGCGGAACTAACAGCATCATTACCGCCTTAGACACTCAACAACAACTT